TTATGTGTGGAGGTCTTGTATGGATACACAGCATTCCCCTTACGGGCGGTCTTTCAGTAACCTGCTGTGGAGGAGCTCGGGTTTAGTTACATATTGTTTGCTCATCTGGCACTTAAACCAAAGCATTATGTCTGTCACTGCAAACAGCTAGTTTTGCTGACATAGCAGTTCATGAGGAGCCATTATGGTTCCTGTCATCTTTTCAAGGTAAGACCTGAGCCACCTCCTGTTCTCTAAATCTGTTTGGGAGCAGAGTGTTCCTGGCAACCTTGTGTTTTTTTTTTTTTTTTTCCTAAAACTTAGAAATGGGACAGTAGTGATTAAAATTAGTGTTTTTAGACTTGGAAGTACATGTGAGAGTGTCAACAGGTTGCTACACCACCATTGCTGTACTAATTTCCTTCCTCCTCAGTGGTTTCTTTCAACTGTAGTACTTCAGGTGTCTGAGAAAGCAGCAATGTATTCTGGAGGGTTAACACACACATGAAATTCTTCTTGGGAAGAACTTTTCATGCAGTCACTTCTGGAAGAACTTGTAACTGATTTGTAGAGTTTTTTTTTTCATCAGCAACAGGATTTGATGTGAGAGTCATCTTCTTCCTAGCTACTGTTGTTATTTTTCAGTCTCTTATTTAATTTTTTCCCTTCTAATGCACGGGCCAAGGGAAGCAGGGGATGTCACATGCTAGGTATGCAACAAGAGTTTTAGAACCAGATCTTTGACTGCTGATGGAATAACAAAGTATATAAACTTCTCTGCATGTATTGTGAGAGGCAGGGTGAAAACCTAGCAGACACGAGGTTTTCCTGTGGGGCAGAACTGGTTTCTGTCCCTGTCTCACCAAGAGGTAGCTCATCACTGCAGCTTCTCTTTTAGTGACGTGTGACGCTGTATGGAGGATTGTTCACGGAATATAAATATCCTTCCCTTGGTCGCATTGGGGCAAACAACTGCAGGAGGAGCATGCAGGATGCAGCTGTGTTAAATTGTGGCTGTGTTTTGGTAGCTGTTGCACAGAAGACACTGGCATGTCACCATATGGGATTTTTTTTCTTGAGTTCCTTGTCATTCGATGAGTAGCTGATGTAGTCCACCCAATTTCTGTCCTGTTTCAGGAAAGGTATAGGATGTCCTCTGCAAATGTTGTGTCGCCTTTGAAATGGAAAGTATTCTTATGGACCACAGACCTTCTTCAGAATGCTGACTTTTAGTACGCATGTGACTTTTGTACTGATGGTCACTGGATTTAAGTCCAGTCAAGCTCTTGCCATTTAGATGCTTTCCAGAGTTACCTGCTGTGATCAAGTCCAGCTGATGAAACCTTGTGGTAGTTTCTCCTTCTTTTTCACTTGCAACACAGCTCGAAACGGGCTAAATGGAATACTGTAAGCTCTTGTACTTGTGGAATTTGGATTCCAGTTGTCTTTCAAACTTGACTTTAGAAACTCAAACTCATAAGTTTCTGACAGAAAAGTTTCTTTGGGTTGTATTGGTGCACCAACAGGAGTCACATCCCATTACGATGGAATAAAGTAGCTAAGGAGAAATAGGCTTGCTGGGTTTCTCTGCAGCCCTCGAGACCTGATGGACAACATTGATTCTCACAGACATTCCTGGGCCTTATTATTGCAGTGTGAGCCTGCTTAGCTGGGGTGCGTGACTGCTCGGTCACCTCTTGCTCACTGGGATGTTTGCCTGAGCAGCAGCAATAGCTTCAGTGTGTTTTCATGAAATCACCCTGAGGCTTAAGTGTGATCCACCACCCAAACCCCTTATGCAATAAGGTTGGCTTCAACACGACTCAGCTGAAAAGACGATGCAAAGGTGGAAGGAAACTGCAGTCCTCACCCCAGTAGCAAACCAGTACTGCAGCTCCAGGACCGAAGTGGTCAGCTAGAGCTACTTCTAGGTCTGTGAACTTGATCTCCTCTCTCTGGATCTCTGGAGAAGGAGGACCTCTATCAGAATGTGGCATCCAGCGGGAGAAACCACAGATGTCAGGGCTTGCTCCAAAAGGCAAGAACAGCTTTGTTGCTAGTTTTATGAAATTATATAGACTATTTTTTATAAGTCTGTGTTCTCTTGGAGTGTGGATGGGTAGATGTATTTATTGTAGGTTAGATGTTGTGAGAACAGCAAAAAGACTTAACTGTGAGGACCTGAGTAAAGAGTATCTCGCCAGCACTATTGCTGTTGCTCATTCCTAATTTACCAAGAAAAGAAGGAAAAAAACCCAACAAACCTCCAAAATCCAAACGTACATTACTTAAACCTGGCGTCGTAAGTAGAGAGGATGGCAGTGAGAATGTTCCACTTTTCTCCCTGCGTGAATGCAGATAGCTCTATCCTGCCCTGCTCTTTATGGGAATGCAAGGAGGGATGACACAAAGCAGAGAGCTCCCTGACATGTGGCATGCTGGAAAGCTTGAAAGGAACAGTGTTGCTTAGATTTGGGATGGGGGAAAAGTGTTTCAGTTTACAAATGCATACTCCGAGCTCTTGGTTGTCTGTTGACTGATTTCATTACTACTCTGATGGTCTAGAATCCTTGTGAGGGTAATTATTCTGGGTGGGAGTGGAACTTGCAATCAGTAAAATCAGGTTTGAAGCGTTGTTACACTGCTATGTAAGGTCCTTCTAAAAAAGGCACAGGTGGAGAGGCTTTCCCATAAAATGTAAGAGTCATTATAGTGACTTCCAAAGGCTTTAGGAGTTGGTCTGAAAGGACCTGTAGTATGACAGGAATGTGTGTAAACCAGCTGTTCGACAAATTTGATGGTGACTAATTTGATTAAAACTATTAAGTTGTAGGAAATTCTTCTGTCAGCTGCAGGAACAAGCTGTTCCTGGGCTTAGTAAAGACGCACTTTACACTGAACTTCTCTTGAGTTGTTTGTTTTCCCCCCGTTGGTGATTGCAGAGAAACTAAAAAGTTGCTATAGATACAGTAGGGATGTGTCCCTCTGGCACGTTCACTGAAATTGCAGATTTAAGAGGGTGGTTGAGCTCTAAACTGACAAGCTGTGCTCCTGAACAACTCGAGTAACTGTCTAAACCGCTTCAAAATTTTTAACAAGAGACTCAAGTGGTGTTGGTTATAGCCTCTTCCCTACAAGCACTCTCAAAAAAGGTCTATCTAAATAATCATTCAGCCAGACCTGGTTACACCCTCAGTACTTGGCAGTTTCTGCTGTGTTTTTTTCCTGATAACGCTCAACCCATGTCTTTTTAGCCTGATGTGCATTACAGCACTGTAAGCTATTGCAAGCATGTGTTTGAGTTACACGTCTGTGGTTCCAATGGAGTTGGTCTAGTCCTGAATTAAAGGATTAGCCTTTTGAATAGCAGAGTAAATGACCAGTTCTAGCAGTGAAGTTTGTCTGCAAAATGGTGCTCTTACATCATGTGAAAGTAATGGTAGTGTCCTTTTACTTGTACAGCTGTAGTTGCAGGCAAAGACTGAAGCCTGCCGTGTGCGAGAAACAGCAGACCACCACAAAACCCAGTCAAGCCACTTTTATTACTGAACTTATTCTTAAGAAATCGGATCCTCAGTAATGTACAGTAACACACAGACCTTACAGTCCACTGCCTCCCTCTTTTTGGGGCTGCAGGTGTGAGAGAAAACTGATAATTACAAAAAAAGTGAGACTTCATGTGAATGATCCCATTCCAGCTGTTTTAAATGCTCAGGTGGATTGGAAGTGGTTCTGGGGAAGGGGAAAACTGGAGGCACGAGTAATGAAAACTACCTATGTGAGTAACACAATCCTGAATAACCGTGGCATGTTTGCCTACCACGTAAGATTTATATTAAGGGGTGGGAGGACTATGAAGTGGGAAAAGGGAAATTACTAGGCTTTAATGAAATGGATCTAGGTATTGTATGAGGCATTACTGTTTGTGTAATGCTTACTGAGTATCCAGAGTGACTTTGGGGCTGGCTGGCATGGATAAATGTCTCGCTGGGCCTGTGGTGTTTTGTTTCCAAGCTTATCAACATACCTCTTCCTCTTCTACAAATAAAACTTAGGGCAGTTGATGGAAATGCCAGGTTAAGTGATAGGTAAGCAGTCTGTTGTGTCCTTGGGGCAGGCAACTCTGATCTTGTGTTAAGACTGTTAGAAATACCTGCATAGTATTAATTTTCTGTTCTAGCAGCTGTTTAGTCACAGGAAGTCCTTCTCAAGACCCTGACTGATGTTTATCTGCTCTTGTGTGCTTCATTCCTGCAGTATTTTGCTTTGGGCTTCACCGCTGTGTCCTGTGTTAGGGTCAGTGGTGCACTCAGCACACTTTCAGGCAAACAGTTTTTGTTCCATGGCTTGATGGACTTAGGACTCTAGATGGTAGGTATGTGCCCTGAAAGGCCAGAGCATTGGGTTCATGCTTCAAGACTGATTAGCATTTGTTGGCCTCTTGAAAGCAAAGGGTATTTTTAAAACAGAATTAGATCTGTTGGGGCCTCTTAAGCATAGGGGGCAGAACTGGGTGAAAAGAGGCAATGGGGTCTTGCAAAGTGGGAGACTTCAAGACAAATGTGAGCAGCAGTATATTTATATAAGGGAACAATATATGATAAATGGTGTGTTTTCAGAAAATTGAATGGAAAAAATGAACTAGTTGTTGTCAATTTTTGTAATGGGGCTTGAAGATGCAGTGTTGGTGTTTATCACTTAATGTACCAGGCAACACGCTAGCATCTGGTGGCGGCAGTTCCCAATCTGGATAAAGAAAATGCAACTGTTCTAATAAAAGTTAAAGCACAGCAAATACATCCTTCGTTTATACTCTTTGACCAGTTCTTTGGGCAATGATAGGAATGAAACGGTTTGGGTTGCTGGGGCGATTTGATGCCCTGATAAAACACCAGCCTTTTAGCCAGGGCTGAAGGCAGTGGCCAAGGTGAGCACGTCTCTGAGGCGAAGCTAGCTGAGGTGCAGTACATGTGGGCAGCTCTGAGGCTGCTGATCTGATTCTTTTTTTTTTTCTTTCAGATGGAAAGAATGCGAGTGGATCCAAACAGCGTTATAATCGTAAAAGAGAAACTTCATATTCAAAAAATGAGAACTTTTCCAGTCAGTCCCGTCGCTCCAATTCACAGAAAAGCAAAGCTTTTAACAAGATGCCTCCTCAAAGGGGGGGTAGCGGCGGAAGTGGCAAACTTTTTAGCTCTTGTAATGGTGGAAGACGAGATGAGGTGAGAATTGTAATGCCATGCCTCCAAGGCCTTCTTTCTTGGGACGAGAGGATCACTCTGACCTGCCTAGATAGGTCTTCTGTGTTCAGCTCCTGGGCTGGGAAGGGAGAGAGCGATAAGAGGTGCTAACATCGTTGAAATGCCAGAGTGAGTGTGAGCAGAACAACTTGGCAACAACAGAAGAGGAATGCTCTCTGCTCTGAGAGACTTGCAATAAAAAATACCGTCTGAGGAATGGGTACCTAGACAGGCCATGTACATATCTCATGAAACAGAGGTCCTTCATGAAAATACCTAGTGATGCAATTTCTAGCTTTTTAAGTCCGAGGTGATTGTGTCTAACCACTTCAGTGTACAAATTTGCATGCGATAGTGGTATTGAGAAAGTAATTGTATTAGCTTTGGTGACATCAAGATGGAGTGAAACCAGACTGAGACTTTTATGCTGATGTGGGTCTAAATACTGTAGACTATTTGTGGGTTTTCATCGATACTCTGATTTTTCAGTTTTAGTGGATGAGCAGCACTGCTCACTTAAATTGCTGACTCTGTCAAAACTCACCTGCTGTCTCTGTTGAATTCTCATTCTTTGCTTCATTATATGAAAACTAATCAAGTACAACCTGTGCAAATAGTAATCAGACTTGTGTTACTGGCCATCTAAAAGAATATTGTCAGCATTTGAACAACTCTCTTCTGTTAGTTAACCTTGACTGCTAGGTTTTGCCAGCTTATACTTGTCCTTATGTGGGTTGTTTTTATGCTCTCCTCCTTTCCATCAGTGTGGGGTAAGACCACTCAGTTGCAACTTTCAGGTTCTCGTGCGCTTCTAACGCTGCACTACTTGATTTGCAGAACTGGAATGGGAGAAGGTGAGTGAGTGGATGCTGGGTATTCTGTACGTAATCACTGATGGGGCCTGGGTATCAACTTGTAGTGATGTTTTTGCAGAAAATTCTAGCAAGTTCTAACAAATGCTGTTGTCTCTTAGGTAGCAGAGGCTCAGCGGGCAGAGTTCAGCCCTGCCCAATTCTCTGGTCCCAAGAAGATTAATCTGAACCACTTACTGAACTTCACTTTTGAACCCCGTGGCCAAGCAGGCCATTTTGATGGGAACGGACATGGCAACTGGGGGAAAAGGAACAAGTGGGGACATAAGCCTTTCAACAAGGAGCTCTTCTTACAGGCCAAGTGAGTGGAAGACCAGCAGGGCTCTTAGACTTCTGCAGACATTGAGCTGTAAGGGATGATCAGCCAGGGAATTGTGTTTGACCTTGACTAGTTGTATTGACTTTTCCAGGCTGAAGTTACCTCTCCGTAGTGTTCTTAGTGATCATGAGTTCTTAGTGGTCATGACTATACTTGAAAAGGATAAAAATGGTTCAAGTTGTTGTCTTAAGTTATTTGCAAGGTATCTGATGAAGTGAGTCCTTTAGATTCAAACCAATTAGTCTTCTGCTCTAATTTTCTAGCATCACTTGTGGGATATGACACTCCGTTTGGGAAGAATTGTGTCGTTTCCTTACAGAAGACGATCTTTTTTTCCAAAAGATATGTTAAGGTGGTAGGGGTAGCAGTTACTTGATCAAAGCTAATCTGAATTTATAAGTCCCAGAAGCAATTACTCATATGGGTCTTGGTTCTTAAACTGCTCATTATTTCACAGGCCCCTGGGCATTCAGTATAACCCAAATGATGATCAGTATAGTAATCCAGCACCAGAATTGCTTTTGACTGGAAATAATGGTTGCTTTCACTGGAATTTGAAGTGTGTTCAGGACTTCCTCTATATGATCATGTTAAAGATAATAAAAACTATTTGCATTGGTGCTTCTGATTTTTACCTATTGTTTTGTGGCTTACTGTAGTGAAGTCTGTTTGCAGGAACCCCAGTAGTTCTAGGTTTTGTGAGCGTATTTTTTTCTGCTTGTGGATTCCCTGTTTTTTAATAGATCCCCTATAGAGCTGGCTGCTTCTTACATGTTTCTGGAAAACCACTCTGCCTGGCTCATTCTATAGTTAGTATGTGATATTGTATCTAACTGAAATTAGACACCTGTATGCTGGAAATCTGGTTGAGAATTGAACTCTTTTGGGTTTTGTTGGTAGAAGTTACTGACTGCATCCAGCAGTTTTCTGCTGGACAAAGAAGAAGATCAGAGAATCCTATAGGGTAGTTCTCAAAGAATTTTTAGAAACAACTGAGTGGATCATCTGTCTCTTTGCCTTTCCCCAGCTGCCAGTTTGTTGTCTCTGAAGAACAGGACTACACAGTCCACTTTGCTGATCCAGATACCTTGGTCAACTGGGACTTTGTGGAGCAAGTGGTCAGTTGTGATGGGCTAGATTTTTTTTTTTTTTTTCTTAAGAAGCTCAACCTGTCTTTAACTGCCTCTTTATCTCTGTCTTGTTACGTAAAACTCGGCTGTTTTTGAGTTGAGTCCTCTTCTGTCACTCCCACAATACTGGGAAAGATCTGTCATAGAATATATTATGAAATACTTTCATGACAGGAAAAGAGAAGTGCTAAAATCTATTAGGAAAATTAGCAGCTTCTTCTTGCTTTCGCAGATGGGAGCTCATCAAAAATAGTATCTGACATTCTGTAGACAGAGTCCTTGTGATCGAGATATTATCAGAAAACTTGGGCATGAGTCCATGGAAGAGGACTAGAGTGTAGAATTTTGAAGAATTATTCTGTGCATAGGTTGCCCGTCTTGCTTAGCAACAAAGTGGAAAATCTCTTGGGAATTGTGGTCAGAACTTTGGATTGCCTCAAGTAGAAACTTATTACCTGCCAAGACTAGTCTTGGTGTGCGGTGTAGCTGGAGACGAGGTAGGCTTACTGATACCTGACTCTACAAGAGAGCTGAAAAATCTCGGTACTTGCTTGGCAGTTATGTCTTTGCAACATACAGATGCTAACAAAGTGTCTGACTAAACTAGCATGTTCATGGACATAGGTAAGTTCAGTCTTGCAGTTAAACAGGGCTGCACAAGTCTGCTTGTGTAAGTGAGGCGACAGAGCGCATTTGCTGTCTTCTCAGTGTCTGAATTTGGATGATGAAGATGCTGCTAACTGTTAGAGATGATGGATACATGAGGGGAAACACAAGAAGAGTTACTTTTTTTAATGTCATTAGAGTAGAAATACCAGATGGGTGGCTTTGAAGGTTATTCCATGTACAGTGTGAAGGTGTTACTTAGTTCATGGTGTACTTAATTTCTCAGTGACTAAGCAGAGCCTAAAGAGCTGCAAGATTAGTGTGTTAGAGTAGATCTTACGGGTGGCTTATTCTATAGCACAGGAACTGATTTCCAAGTCTAAAACTTGTCCTATTCTTCTCATGTGCCATTTCAGCGAATTTGTAGCCATGAGGTGCCCTCTTGCCCGATATGTCTGTACCCACCAACGGCAGCAAAGATCACCCGCTGTGGGCATATCTTTTGTTGGGCATGTATCCTTCACTATCTCTCCTTGAGTGAAAAGACCTGGAGTAAATGTCCTATTTGTTATGGCTCTGTTCACAAGAAGGATCTCAAGAGGTAAGACTTGGTATTTATTAAATGATGTATATCTTTGAAATGTTATTTTTACCCTACTAACCTCCTCCTTACATTGCAGCGTTGTTGCTATGGAAACACGTCAATATGCAATTGGTGATATCATTACGATGCAACTTATGAGAAGAGAGAAAGGTGTTCTGATAGCACTGCCCAAATCTCAGTGGATGAACGTGGTGCAGCCTGTTTACATCGGTGGTGAGTGTAAGAGTACTGGTGGTTGGCATCCTGCTCCTACCTGTGACTAGGACACATGTGGAGAGGCTTTACCATGGCAATGCCATGCTGTCACCTTAAAATAAACCAGACTACAAAACATGGGGTTTAGCAGCTGAAAACCTTAATGACCAAATATTGATAATAAGCTTTCTACCCGCACTTTGTTTTTTGTAAGGCTTTAACTTGTGTGCTGTTTCCCTTCAAGTTACTGCACTGCAGACTCCTGCCTTCTCAGTCATTGGTATTTGCTGTGTGTTTTGTATTGTATAGTCATCGGTGTGACTCTTGCTGGGTTTGTTGGCCTTCAGTGTCCTTTCCCTCCTGGCTCCTCATTATACAGCTTAGCAAAAATAGCTGTCTGAGTCTAAACTATTACAAGGATGTAATCTTAAAGGTTTTCATCATCTTCACTTATCTGTTAAAATCTGTGAATGATGTGGGAAAATAATCAAAATTATTGAAAACCTATTCCAAACATCTGTTGCCTGACTTGTTCAGTTTTCTCCAGCCAAGTAATGTGACTAACACATCATCATCTTATCTGTTGGTATCACAAAAATTTTGTGACTAAAGAAACAATTTTACTTAACATGGCTGTTTTGTGGGCTGTCTTGGCTCACTTCATTTTGCAGTCACATTTATGAAAGGCTGCGTGCATTTAAGCTCTCTGTAAAAAGTCAAGTCTCCTAACGTGTGATGAGTATCCAGCATGCAGGGTGTCTGCTTACATGTTTCTTACTGTTTGAAAGTAAAGCACTTCAGATCCTTTCATACAACAAACAAAAGAACAAATACAGGATTTGAGATCATTTCAAACCCAGGAAATTCAGTATTAACCTGGTGTTCTGTAGACAAGGTTGGACCCTTGGGGAGCAGTGAATATAGGAACTATACTAGTATGTGACACTATGGTTGCTGCAATTACAGTTAAGATAAGCTCTCTAGTTAGAAAGAAGACTACCTTTTGCTAAACTTGCAATTCTTTAGCTTACTGTTTCTGCTGTGCTGCTTGTAAAAACCTTATAATAATGTTTTGTACCTCATAATAATTTTTTAATACCTACGGGCTTATGAAGTAGTTTGAGCCAAAACAGAGGTCGCTTTTGCAGAACTTCCCAGTTGCGGTATTTTTGAGTATATAGAGAAGAGGAAGAAGCTGCAGACTGCATTGTTGCAGGAAGTTTTGACCACCCAAGGTTTCTCAAAGGTGGATACTCCACAGCATAGAAGTTGGTTTGTTTGGTTTTTTTTTTTTCTTGAAGGGTAGCAACTGAGTAGTAATGTGGCAGATAAACTGCTGTGTGGGGGAGATGTGTGTAGCAGAGCAAGTATGCGGCACCAGCTTGTGTTACCAATGATGCAGAGGTAATATGCAGAGTCTGTATCAAAACTCTTGCTAAGTATTGTCTGCCCTGGGGTGGATTAACTCACAAAATTGAGCAGTAACAAAACTTCAGAAGAAACAGCAGTCCAAACTGGTGCCTCTGCATGCAGATATCAATGATTTGGTGCTCCTTCTGTTCAGATGACCAGCACAGTCAGTATTCGAAGCTGCTTCTGGCATCCAGGGAGCAAGTCTTGCAGCTGGTGATTCTGGAGGAGAAAGCAGCATTACTAAAACAGTATGAGGAAGAAAAACATACCCCAGAGGCTTGCTTTATTGAGGCAGCTATCCAGGAACTGAAGGTGAGAACCTCTCTGGAGGCTTTTAGTAACTTTAAGAGTTTGTTGAGTGCTGAGTGTCTGTGATCTGGTGCGTAAGTGGTTGTGTGTGATTATTCTGGTCTCTGTGATGAACATACTAGCAAGGTGGTGTGTAGCATTACAAATCTTGGAGGAGACTGTAGCCTTTTGACACCAGGTATCTGGTGTGATGTTCAAGATAACAGAAAGAATGATTTTTACTGAATGGTATTCCTTCCATAAATGTAAAGCCATTCTGCTTTCAAAGGAAGGTGTGTTTCCCTTTCAGGTCCAGCAATTTCTGGGATAACTTCTATTGGGCAGACATGAGCAAACCTGTAGAATATTCCTGTTCAAAGCCTTTAGGTGTCCTACAATGGGTGTGCTTTCAAGTAACAATAAAGAGAGTACCCCTCTTCAAGGGTCACTCTTTGTCACAGATGAATTGCAGATCTATGAAAACCTGATGTACAGGACAAGGCTAAAAATAACTATGGTGATAGTCTCCTGGCTTATTGAAACTTGTTCTCTTTGGATGACTTGTAGGAGCGAGAAACAGCACTCTCTGCAGACCAGGATAAAAACGATGGCATTGCTGGAATCAGTGCAGCTGTGGAAGAATTGGTCCTAGAAGGCTCCAAGGCTGTGGAGCCTGCGGTTTCCCAAGAGAAAAAGGTGGGCGACAACTCTGCTCTGGCAGATCTTGTTAATACTTAATTCCGCCACTTTACACTGCAGTGTGTGGTGAACTGGTGCCAAAGATTTTTGCAGAGATTGTAATCTGTTGAAGGAGGTGATGTGGTACTAACTATATGCTCTCTGGTGTGGTAGTGTGGTGTGGAATATCTCTCTGCATTTGATGAGGAGCTTGCGGAGCCTTGCTCTGATCTGGCAAGTTCCTTTTCGCCTCCTGTGGAAGCAGAAGAGGCAGTGCTGGATGAAGAGGAGGTACCTGAGGTGGACACCATAGGGGAACCTGATGTGAACACTACAGAAGAACCAAATCCAGCTGAAACAAGCTACCAAGAATCTAAAGATACAACTAGAAGTGGACATCTTAGCAACTCTCCTTTTTACTATTTCTATCAAGGTCAGTGCAATGAAATCCTGGAATCATGGGGGCAGAAATGCCTCCTTTGGTATCCTTCTTGAGGAAGGTGTTTGTCACTTCATTAGATGCAGCTAATCCCTGTGAAATAAGTCCCACAGAAACTCAGAAAGGAGCTTTAATTTTATGACTGGAGACTGTACGGAGGTGGGGAGAAGGGTATTGAAAATTAACAGGCAAAGAACAGCTGATGATATCTTATCTTGTAGCGGAGGATGGACAGTGTATGTATCTTCACCCTGTGAATGTTCGATGTCTTGTTCGTGAATATGGCAGCTTGGAGAAGAGTCCGGAGAAGATAACTGCAGCTGTAGTGGAGACAACTGGCTACTCAATGACAGAGGTAGTTATTTTACCTTGTTAATTAAGGGCCCTTGTTCTAGCAGATCGATCATTGTAGCTGTCAGATGAGATTTGTTTCTCTTCAGTAATAAGAGGTAATAACTGTGGGTGGGTAGGCATGCTAATCAATGACAGGCATCCATGTAAGGTGCAGTATATGTTGCTTTTGGTAAGTAGGCTGCAGTCTAGCTTTTTTTTTTTTTCCCTAGAAGGCAGGAAGTTCTGGGAATAAGAGAATTGCAAGCTTAAGATTGGTTTGCTGTTAAAGCTGTCTTGAAAAAGGCAAATTCTTTTCTCGTATAAGACAGTAGCTTGAACTAGACAGATTATTATCTTAGCCTGAAGAAGTGTTCTGCCTCTGTCTTGAACAAACAGTTGTTTCTTAGCATCAAGGGTAGAGGTGGGATGTTATGAAAATTAAGAGGATGGAAAGAAACTTTGGTGTTTGAGATAGAGGGAGTGAAAGTGCTTAAGACACTGAAGTTCTGGGAGAGGGGATGGGTCTTGAATTCCTTTACCTCAGGTAGAGACGACTGTAAGAATTGGCATGTGCAGTAACAACTATACATAATTCTTAATTGATCTTTAAGAAAGGATATGCTCAAGTAAGAATGGATGCAGAGGTAGCAGGGAATTGTCTTCAAGTTTTTCGTCTTGCAAGGAACAATACAAAACCCAGCATGTTTCAGTCTAGCAGAGTGGTGGTCGTTGATCCAAATAACTTAAGTGTAAAAGGCAAATTTGGTCCAGTGGAAAATAATTGCATCAGAAGACTGATATTGTAGAGTTTTATTCCAATGATGTGAGTGAGAGGGGAGGAGTAACAAGAAAATCAGTAAGTGAGCTGGAGCAACTGTGTCCAAATCTGATTATGATGTAGAGATCTTGGAATATTTGGTTCTGACCCAGGGCATCCTTCACGTGTTCATAGTTTATAAAGTGATTGTTATGTCACTGCGGCTATTTTTTTCCATTTGATTTGATGAATGGGGGTCATTCTGTCTCCATAAGCTATTCATCACTGTGGCAGCCTCTAAACCTTGTTGTGATGATATATCTGCCTTTTTTTTTTTAAATCAGGATATAAGACAGCGTCATCGCTACCTCTGTCACTTGCCCCTCACCTGTGAGTTCAGCATTTGTGAACTGGCTCTGAAGCCACCCATCATCTCTAAGGAGACTTTAGAGTTGTTTTCAGGTTGGTGCTACCTTTCTAGTAGACTCTGTTGTGTATCTGTGAGGGTGAAGGGGAAGTTGTTCTTATCCCTTAATAACAGAATAAAGAACATACGTAGCAGTTTTACTCCTCTTGCACCAACTCTCTGATGACCATGACTGAACAACCCCAATTCAATGTTTTATAGACAACA